AGGGAAGGGACTGGCATGCTGTGGGACAGAATGTTTACTTGCAGAGGAACCTCCTCTCCTGGAGTCTCTTGCTACTGCTCTGTTCCTTGCCTTCCAGGATCAGCAAGTGCACTTTAACTATTGGACATTACACGCGGATGAAGGGAAGGGCGCTGGCAGAATCTTAATCACTTTGCTTTTTAGGGTAGGCTCTGCTGTCCACTAAGCCCCACATTTCTTCAGCCCTTTCAGCAATCTGGAGCCAATATTTATGGTACAAATGTTCTAGTTTGTTTTTGCAAGGTTTGATACCATCTCCTAAAAATATCCGCACCATTGCGGGCACTTTTTCTTCCCAGGTCTGTTCCCTATTAGTTGCCCCCCACTCCCATCTCTCAGTCTTTTCTGTAGTTCCCTAAGTGTGTGTAGAGGTCAATTTCCTCCACTCTTAAATCTTGATTTAACCTTCCTACACAAGATCTTTAATTAAACTTTCAGAACACTATGGAACATCATTTACAAGTGGCATCCTATGATCTTGCCATTTTTATTTCCAAACATTTTTTTTAAGAAACCGAGTATCTCCAACACAGAAAGAACATTTAAGCCCACCCTCGTGATGTTTCTGAGGCGACTGAAAACAAGATGATTTTCATCAACGTCGGTGGAGGGGCATTTAGTCCTGAGCTGTTTGCCTTTCAAACACATTGGGTAGTCTCTTCAGCTGTCCTTCTTTAAAGTAGCCTTTCACAGAGGCAGGAGACACTGGCTGCAGAACTGTGATTCCTAATCACTTTCCCCTTCTCCAACACCAAGTAGCAATCACTGACTTAGTTAATAATTTCAGACAGAAAAATAAAATGAGCTAACCAGCTATCCTGTTTTAGACTTGCACTCCCATCCCGGCTGTATCAATAGTATCTGCTATGATTGCCTACTGAGAAGCCTGTGTAGAGTCCACTGGAAGATCGTAACTCCATGCTGTAACACTGATTAGGCAAACCCTTCCTAGAAAAGCTAGAAAGGAGAGGCCCCTACACCCTATGTTTTGTGGGCTTTTAAAGACCTTAACATGAATGGTTGGTCTCAGTCTTCTTTAGGAACCTCAGGAGAAATACTGTTTTGGAATTCCTATGAGTAGTCCTTGAAGTTTCCCAACTGATTATAAATACCTTCTTGCTAGGCAGTGGTGGTACACTCCTTTAATCCCAGCACTTGGGAGGCAGAAGCAGGCAGATAACTGTGAGTTTGAGGCCAGCCTGGTCTACAGAGCAAGTTCCAGGACACACAGGGCTACACAGAGAAACCCTGTCTCTCTCTCTACCTGCCCCTCACACACACAAGCACAAATAATAATAATGATAGTGATAATAATAATAAAAAATAACTTCTCTCCCACTCTGTTTGGGACTAGGGTTGTTATTTGGAGGAATTGCTGTTGCACACCTCTATATAATCAGAATTCTCTGAGACTCGGTATTAGTCACTTCTGCATTACTGTGACCTAAATACCAGATAGAAACAACTTAAGAACTGTTGGGGGACATAGTTCAATGGTAGAACACTTGACCAGCATACATGAGGTCCTATATTCAATCCTTGATAAAAGGTAAAGGTGGTGGGGAGAAACACTTATGGGGAAAAAAATTTTATCTTGGTTCACAGATTTAAAGTGTTTCAGTCTAGCATAGCAGAGAAGATGTAGCAGAATGGCTTAGATCATGGAGCATGTGGTAGCTATTCCCACGGCAGTCACAGGAAGCAGTCTGAATCCAGAAGCAGAGCTGTGTTATACCCTTCAAAGGCCAACTCCTAGTGGCCTACTTCCACCAAGTAGGCCTATGTTACGAAATATTTGATTATACTATGTAAAGATATGTCACTGTGATTGGTTTAATAAAAAGCTCAATGGCCAATAACTAGGCAGGATATCTAGGCACAGAGGATGCTGGGAAGAAGAAGGGTGGAGATGCCATGAGACACAGAGTGAGCACTATGGGCACTATGGATATGAGGTAATAAAGTCACGTGGCAGCACATAGATTAATAGAAATTGGTTAATTTAAGTTATAAAAGCTAGTTAGAAACAAGCCTAAGCTACTGGCCAAGTTTTCATAATTAATAAAAAGTCTCCATGTGGGTATTTGGGAGCTGGCAGGTGGGACAGAGAAAGACTACCTACAGGCCTATCTCCTAAATAATGCCACCAGCTCAGAAACAAGCATTCAAACATAAGCCTGGGGTGGCAAAATGGTTTAGTAAGTAAAACACTTGCCACACAAGCCTAATAACCTAAGCTTAATCCCCAGAGTCCATGTAAAGGTAGAAGAGAATGCACTCCAAAAAGTTGCTCCCTAACCTCCACACAGGTGATGTGGCACACACAATCCCCTCTCCTACAATAATAAACAAACAAACAAACAAATGATAAAAACACAAGCTGGAGTGGACATGTCAGAGTCAAACAATAACAGATGTTAACTATTGAATCTGTTTTCTCCTTGGTGTAGGCAAGTCTGCCCTTGTCATCTAGTGCTGTTCTCTTGCTATCCATGGGCAGTGTTTGACCGTCCTTCCATGCTCTGATCGAGTACTCTCTAATGGCAGCTACTTAGGAACAGTGTGCCTTCTCTGAAGTATCTGTACTTCATCAGACTTTAAGCAGGGACACAATAACCAGGCTGGTGTCACTTTGGTTTCTCGGTTCATTTTTTTTTCCCTTTTCTTTTTTCCTGTTTCTCTATATAGGTGTTCTGTAGCTCAGGCTAGACTCAAACTCCCTATGTAGCCCAGGCTGGCCACAAACTCATCGTCCTGCTTTAGCTTCTCTTAAGTTCTCGGATAAAAGTCTACACTACCACACCTGGGTCCACTTTGCCTTCCAATACTCCCGTCTCTGTCCTGTCTTCTACCACCCTCTGAGGCTTCACTTCCTTCTTCTCCCTCCCAGAAGTAGAAAAAACGGAAAAATCACAAGTGTTTGGCTCTTACTATGTGTAAAGCATTAAGATAGTAATTTCATGATGGTTTTCATTGAATCCATAATGTAGTTGTGTGAGGGAGTTTTTATAATCGCCACTTCTACCAGCTGGAAAACAAGCCCAAAGAGGTAAAGAGGAGGGCTGAGGTCAGGTGGAATGTTAGCCTCTCCCACCCACACAACCCCCTTGAGAGTGAGTGTCAAGCCTGGCCCATCCAAGGGTGTGGATCTGGATCCACAGGAGCAACTGGACATAGCTGACTGTTTTCTTTGAGAACAATGGGCTGGCCTGAATGCCTTTAGCACCAAGGCTCCAGTCTCAGCAGCAGATGTCAGCCTGAAGAGATAAAATCAGCTGCTGAGAAACGTTGTAGTGTCACAGAAGATGAACTGTAAGTACAAATTAAGTCCTTAACTTCCCACTATTATACAGTTACGTTATCAAGCTTTCTTGCTAGCCCATTCCCTTTTCTTATATTCAAGCTTTTGTTTCTTAACCTAGACTTTTTCTAATTCAGTAACTCAATTCGACAAACATCCACTGTTTGGCTACTCCAGCACCGACTACCTTTTATGTTGCAGATACAGAGACTAAAAACACACTTCCTGACCACATGTGATTCACAGTTTACAGGACAGGCAGAAACAGGAACCAAGAAATAAGCCTATAATGAGATAGTGTCTGACATAGGCTGTGCAAGGTACCACAGAAGACAAGAAGAGAGGTGGAGGTGTGGGTGGAGCGGGGAGTGGATAAGGAAAGCCTTCAGAGATGATGCCATTCTGAACCAAAGAGTGAGTACCTCAGATGATCAGGAATATCTTTGTATTGTAGACGACTCTATTGAAGGAAGAGGGTCACATCAAACCTGCTCCTCAGGTCTGAGGAGACGAATAAGTTGCTAGAGCCGCACAGGTAACTGGATTAGACACTTTTCTCATGGTTATGACCAAATAAATACTTGACAAGAGGCAACTTAAAGAAAATACTGGGGCTGGGGATGTAGCTCGGTTAGTAGAATGTTTCCCTAGCATGCATGAAGCCCAGGGTTCAATCCCCAGCACCATACCACCGAAGCAGAAGGATCAGACACACACTGAGCTGGTGGCCAGCCTAGGATATGTGAGACCCTTCCTAGGGTAGAGATTTATTTTGGTACATAGTGTAGTCCACCACAGCTGGGAAGGCACATCGGCAAAACACATGGTGCAGGTATAGTAGCAGGAAGTGCCTGAGACTGAAGCCAAAGGCGTGTAAGCCCGCTTACTCACATCTCAACGGACCGGCAAGTGGAGAGAGACAGTGCTGGTACTCACCTGGCATTCTCCTTTTCCCCACTTTGCTCAGGCTTGGAACCCAGCCAAGAGGATGGCGCTACCTACATTCAGAGTGGGTCTTCCCTGAGCAAACACATACACCCTAAAAATGGGCCTTATTAATGCCCAGGGTTTTTTCATCTAATCAAATTGAAGATGAAAATGAACCATCATAGCATCTAAGTGGACTTTCCATTCCCTAGCTCTCTTTCAGAGTGTATGAGGTCACTTGTGTTATTTTTGGGTCCCCCAGTGCCAGACTATTGATTTGTTTTTCTCATTCATGCCCTTCTTACTTTAGTGTTCCATCTGAAAATGACTTAAATCCCATCAAGCTTCTACTGTCACTAAGCAACCATCTTAGCTTCGGGAAGCCCTTCCAGCTTGTCTTCACACTTCCTGCTTATTCTCTGTCTCCACTGGTTACTGGTGTCTAATGGTTTTGAAGAAGGCCTTCTCTTGTGTCTTTCAGCTACTAGTTTTACTGAGAACTGCCTAGTCCTTTCTCATTGTCATGGTCATATTCTATAAGAAAGGAATCAAATTACTAGTTCACTTCTAACTTTTTGGGGGCAAAGCTCTTGTACAAATTATGCTGAAGTATAAGATAATATAATGTATGTGTGTGTGGTCTCATATGAGCTGTTTAATGGTAGACTCCTGACTTGTATGGTGAATCTGAAAAGCCAGACCCCACAAAGAAAGAAAGAACAGACTCTTCAGAGCAAGTTCAAGAGGCTTATATTTTTGTCTCACTTTGGAAAAAAAATGTATGCTTAGTGTTCCGATTACATTTATGAACTTCTTGAAGATAAGAACAGTATCTTTTTTGTGTTTAATTTTTTTCAAGGTCCCAGAATAATAATTTGTATATGGTGTGTACTTTACTGCACCTTAAACTGAAATCATGTGTGGATTACTGGTTAGGCTCGCTCCAGGTCAGCCTACACCTGCTCTGACTTCCTCATTGTACATAGGATTGCTCGCTCTTAAGGTCTATTCATTGCCACTTTTAAAGTTAGGTAAATATACTTTTACTTAACTTGCTTCTGTTCATAGCTACTGCTGGCCTGAATTTCTAAGGTATTGGATTTCTACTTCGGAACTTTTGGTCCCAAGGAAAAGTAAACACTTTCTTTAAAACTCAGACAGTTGATATTAACTTGAACCCTCCTTAATATAGGAGAATTCAGGTCAACATAAACATGTATCTACTACCAAACAGTGGAAAAATTTCCTAAGTGAAATTCAAGCTGTATTTGGCATTCATTTTTATGTCTTTCACTTGAATAGCTAAGTACATTATGTGAACTTTAGCCCATTAATCCTTAGAGATAAGTAAAGGGAACTTGAAAGAAGGGCTTGCTCAGATAGGGTCTCCTAGCCAGATAGCACTAACAGCCTTACTCAGTATTGGAACAGGTCAGCTTGCCTTAATAGACCATTGTTTTAATCTCAGGATGAAAAACGTGTGCTCTAAGAGAACTCACATTTTCACATTGGACTTCTTAGCATATAAGACATTCAGAACATCTGTGCAAATGTGCCAATATTCACTTGGTTTTAAAGTCTGAAAATTGTCTCTTTTGCAATCGCTTCCTCTTTATCTCCTTCTTCAGACCCCCCACTTCTCCCCCTCTCTTATATTTTTGGTTGTGAGCCTAGCCTTTAACAGCTGAGCCGTCTCTCCAGCCCTTCTCCCCCTCTCTTATATTTTTGGTTGTGAGCCTAGCCTTTAACAGCTGAGCCGTCTCTCCAGCCCTTCTCCCCCTCTCTTAATGCAATTAAAGGCAAGACTGTAAATCGTATTATAGCAATGGAACTTAACATAGCACTCCCTCCTGGGACTACTTGAATTTTGAAAGACAAGCCCAAAGAAATAGTCATTAGTTTCTGAAATAAAAATATCAGAAATTGGGCAAGGAAGGGGTAGAGGGTGTAGGAGTCCTTCTTTCCTGGTTCTTCTAAATGACATGAGGGGCTTCTTACATTTCTACTTTAAGCTCCTAGAGGGAAAGGCTTGAGATGGAGGAAGGCAGAGGATGTTACAGTCAAAGGGAAAGAGGATATTTATATAGTTAAGGTGAGAAGAAAAGAGAGAATGGGACAGAACTTTATCATTTCTATGCTAAGCCACCATCGCTTAGGGCACGTAATATCAGTGATTAAACCAATTTTAGGGCCCATCATCGTTTGACAGAACAATCATAATTAATAACAGAGCACTGTTTTGTAAGGTAGACTGACAATAGTCTTCATAGGAGACTGAATTTAAAAATTATGCCTTTAAGAAATCTGAAACAAAAAAAATAGTCAAGTCACCTAAAATTGGGTGTGGATTCAAGCCAAACCCAGAGACTCCCCACCACCCTTTTGGTCACTTACATTCCGTTAAGGATCTGGCCACAGCTCACTCAGGACTTTGCATTTTTCTTTCATCAAATGGATTCCCACCACTGCTCAGGCTGCCTCCTTCCCCCAGTGTCTTAGTCAGGGTTGCTATTGCTGTGATGAAACATCATGACCAAAAGCAAGTTGGGGCCTGGTGGTAGTGGTGGTGCACGCCTTTGATCCCAGCACTTGGGAGGCAGAGGCAGCCTGATGTTTGTTGAGTTTGAAGCCAGCCTGGTCTACAAATCAAGTTCCAGGCAGTCAGGACTGTTGCACAAAGAAACTCTGTCTTGAAAACAAACAAAAACAAACAAAAAGAAAAGCAAGTTGGGGAGGAAAGGGTTTATTGGCCTACACTTCCACATCGTAGACCACCACTGAAGGAAGTCAAGGTAGGAACCTGGAAGCAGAAGCTGATGCCGAGGCCCTGAAGTGATGTTATTCTGTTTACCAGCTTTGCTTTTCAGGGCTTGCTCAACCTGCTTTCTTATAGAACCAGGATCACCAGCCCAGAAGTGACACCACCCACAGTGGGCTGGACCCTCCCCAATCAATTACCAGTTAAGGAAATGCCCTACAGGCTTGCTTACAGCCCAGTCTCATAGAGACATTTTCTCAATTGAGGTTACATCCTCTCAGATGACTATAAAATGTCATAGTCAAGCTGACATAGAACTAGCTAGCACACCCAGGTTCTGCCTCTTATTCATTTAAAGGATACCCAATTCGAAGGCCAGCCAAGAGGCCTTCTCTAGATAGTTCTTCTAACTTCAACAGACCATTCTCTCCAATCTACCTCTACCACTAATAGGTATTACTGTGGTGATTTGAATGAGACTAGCCCCCATAGGCTCCTATGTTTGAATACTTAATCCTTAGTTGGTGGAACTGTTTGGGAAGGATTAGGAGCTGTGACCTTGTTGGAAGAGGAGTGTCACTGGGAGTGGTCACTCTCGGGGGACTCTCTACCATCTACTTGTGGTTTGAGATATGAGTTCTCCCCCATGGTGACCTACTGTCACACCCTCTCTGCCATCATGGACCCTAACCCTCTGAAACGGTAAGCCTAATTAAATGTTTTCTTTTATGATACCTTGGTCATAGTGTCTCATCACACCAGCAGAAAATAAACTAAGACAATTATATTTTGGAATTCATCTCATATATGTCAATATGTTAGAGGCCAGCTAGGCCAAGGTCATGAGCAGAAGCAAATACCCACTACATCTCTCTGCTTCGCATAATATAAACTACTTTGAATTGGACCTACACCTTATTTATATTTTCTGCACCCAATAATATTCTGTGGTATTAATTTTCCTCATACTTAGTACATTATGTGAACTTTACCTCACTAATCCACGGAGGTAAGTATAGTATAATTATTTATGTCACACTCTGGATAGTTTCATAAAGGAGATGAGGTTTTTTATTTCTTTTTTTTTTATTAGAGATGAGGTTTATATACATAAGAGTACTAGAAAAAAGTTGAAGTTAATTACTGAATTTAAATGATATTTACTAAACACCGAGGAGCCAGGAATTATGTCCTGGGATTTTTAGCATAAACTAGTCTACTTCTGAGGTGTTCACAAGCCACTTTGCCAATTCTCTTGTTTTGACACTTCAGTGGTTTACATATCAATCTACACCTTGTTCCTTACAATAACCCTGTGAAGTGTATCAGTATTTTCACGCTCACAGAAGTGAACTAGCATTTGAATTCCCAGATCTTCTGACTCCACCACCAGACTTTCTTCCCCATTACACTGGCATTCCTCATACTGTTTTTTCCCATTGTCATATACACCCTGGAGGGGAAATACATTTACACTCTCTGAGATTGGAATGTGCTCAAAAATCAATGCTATTTTTTGTTTTGTTTGTTTTTTGAGACAGGGTTTCTCTATGTAGTCCTGCCTGTCCTAGAACTCACTCTGTAGACCAGGCTGGCTTTGAACTCAGAGATCCACCTGCCTCTGCCTCCCAAGTACTGGGATTAAAGGTGTGGGCCATCACTGGCCAGCAATCAATGCATCTTAAAAATTCATATTTACGAAAATGTTTTATATCACCTCCCAGGGGAGTGAACTGAAACTGAGAAAATGAATTACTCAGGGTCTCTGGGTTTGGTTTGAATCCCACCCACAGTTTTAGGTAGCTTTACCTTTTTTTTCTTTTCAGGTTTCTTAAAGGCATAGTTTTTAAATTCAGTTTCCTATGAAAACTATAACAAAGCTCAAACTTACCTCTCAAATGTCAAAAGTGTGAGCCATGATCTTCTTTCCCTGAAAGGTTGTCTCATTCTGGTGATAGGATCTCTTCAGTCTGTTACTATTCGCAAACCCTCTCATGGCTGATTGAACCTAATGGTTCCAGATGTGTACTCCAACTGCCCGGCGGCCAGTCCCTGAAGGCCCCAAGTCTGCATAAACACACTCTGTTCAGAATCGCCGCCGCTAGAGGGCAAATCGGGGCTGTAACTCTGGACAGCCCTCTAGTGGTGGCTGTGGAATACGTAGCTCTTTATGGAACCTATTAAAAACTCTAAAGTTGCACTCGGGAAGTCAGCCTGTGTGACACCCGGTAGTGAAGTTATTTTAAAGACATTTTGTTTCTCGACTTCCTAGTCTTAAGGCCTTTAGCAGGTATCGGTTGCCTTTCTTTGATGAATCTCCCCCTCAGGGTGTGACAATGTGAAACCATCATCTTCAGAAGGTTAATTTTTTTTTTTTTTTTAAATAGGGGTTCTTGGCCACTTTTCCCAATTGTCTTTTTTGTTTTGTTTCTAGAGACAGGGTTTCAGGCTGTGTAACAGCCCCTGGTGGCTGTCCCGGAATTCACTCTGTAGACTAGGCTGGCCTCGACTCACAGAGATCCACCTGCCTCTGCTTCCCCAGTGCTGGGATTAAAGACAAGCGCCACCACTGCCCGGTTTCCCATTGTCTTCCCATAGCATCTTCCCCATGGACACGAATTTACAAATATGCATTCAAGATCTTCCATTACAATCTTAGCTTCAATAACAGCTGGCGAGGTCTAAAACTAACATTCACAATTTAAACCCTGGCTCCTATATTTAGTAATCGAATAACTAACTTTTCTAGGCTTTTGTCTCATCAGCAAAATAGAGAATAATAGCAACCATATTACATAGTTTTGGAGAAGCACACAATAATCGTGTACAAAAGGGGCTAACAGGGCAGCATAAGTGTTCAACGAGCATTAGCTACCACTAGGTAATCTTCAGTTATGCCACTGTGAACTGTACCAGTTAGTGCCAGAAAAATGCGGTATATATAGGAGACATTGGCATACGTGCAAAATAAATTTCAGTAGCAACCTACATGTAGCCTAAAGCCGTTGTGTCCTTAGGTTGTGAAAAGGGGGCTCGTTTGTGTGATACAATCCATGCACCGGGTACTTGGAACAGTCTCGATTCTCATGCAGAAACTGTATTTTGCACACAAGTGTCCATCCCTCCACCCCACCAGGGGCAAACATTCAGGGAGAGTCTGGGCTTGGAGTCCGTGAACCGGGCCTGAGGCCACATGGACAAAAACAAGAGAGTTTCAGGCCAAGGCAAGGAACAGAGCACTCAAAAGACCACGCAACCCAAGCCAATCAGATTCCCTACCCACTAGAAGTCTGAAAGGTGGCAGAGCCTCCTAGCTCAAAGTCCACCCAGGAAAGTGGCCAGAAAATCGGACAGGTAGAAGTCCGACAGAAACACGGTCAGAAAAGTTCAGAGCTGGAAGGCTCATTACAGCCACAGGCCCAGAAAAAGGTCAGGGAGAGCTGCGCAGCTGTTCCATCTGGTGCCAAAGGCTTCGGCTGTTGTCTTCTCCACCCAGGCACTTAGCCTTCCTGACCAGCCCCACCTAGACAAGCCAATCCTTCCACTCTCGGGGGAGGACTGACTTGTTGGAGGCAGTCCCACTCTAAGTATGAATGGCAAGAGGGCGAGCGCTGGGCAGTCTCCGGCTGGGGTGGGTTTCGATGGCTGCAAAGGAGGAGCTCTTGGCTGAAGCTTGAGAGCCTCCATGTTGTATCCCATGTGTTTCTTTGAGAAACAGGAGGGGCCCTGGCTGCCAGGGACCCTGACAAGCTGCGACTTGAGCTGTGTCTCCGAGCCTGGGCTGAACTGAGACTATAGAGCAGGGAGGGCACCCCTGGCAGGGGGGGTGGGGTGGGGAACGGCATGGGCAAAGGCACCAAGGAAGAATGAATCTGCTGCGCGCTGAGGATGGCATGGAGACTTCCCTGATTGGCGCCGGGAGTTCTCGCAGGGGGGATGGAGGCGGCTGTGATTGGGTGGCTAAAGTGGGGCCAGATTTGGAGGGCTTTGAATGCCCGACCGAGGAAACACTTCCACCAGCTCCTCTCACTTGCCATTTTTCCTCCCAGAGCCGATTCACCTCGCGGCGCTGGCTCTTCTTCGGTGGGGGGTGGTGGGGGGGAGTAAAGGAGGTGGGGGGGAGAGAAGAAGGAGGGGAGGCTTCTGAGAAGTCGACTTCGAAGCTCTCACCTGCTTCAGCAGCGCGGTCCGCGGACCGAGGGAGGAAGCGAGCCTGACTGGCGGAGGGGAGGCGCACGCACGCCTGCACGCACGCACGCGCGCGCGCGTGGGGCCGGGGGGGGGTGGGGTGGGGGAGGAGGTCGTGCGGCCGCTTCGTTCCACCTTACACGCTCTAGGAAGCAATCAATTCTCCCTTCCACGCCGCGCGGCCGCACGGGGCCACCCCCCCCACCCCCTGCACACCCACCCACCACCACCCCACCCCCGCCGCCGTCACGCGAGCCCGCTCCTCCCCCCCACTCCCCCCTCCCCGCCCGCCCCACGCCGTCCTCGCGTCCTCCTGCAGCCGCCCGGCCGCTCCCTCCGGGGGGAGGTCCCCCCCACCCCCCCCACCCACCCCGAGCCCCGAACCCCGAACCCCGAACCCGCCGCGGCTTCCTGGGCCCGCGGCCGCTCCGCCCCGCCCCGCCGCCCCGCGCGCCCCCCCCCCCTGCGGCCCCCGCGCCGCGCCCGCACACGCGCGTCCACGCCCCCCGGCCGCGCGGTAGGTGTTGTGCCGTCTGCGCCGGGCCGCAGTGCGGCTGCGCGCGCTGGGCTGCTCGGGGCTGGCAGGACAGCGGCGGCCGCGGCGGCGGCGGCGGGGCCGGGAGCGAGCGAGCGGGCGGGCGGGCGGGCGGACGGGCGAGCGGCCGCGGGGGAGCTCGGAGGCGCCAGGCCCCCCCGGCGGGGCGGGGTGGGGGGGCGTCCGGGGAGGCAGGCCCCCCGAGAGACCCGTCGGGTTGGATTGTTTTGGGGGGGGCGGCGGAAGGGGGGCGCCTGGCCACGGACCTCGTCTTTTCAGACGCCCCCCCCACCACCACCACCACCAGCCCCGGGCCGCTGACGGGGGGCTGAGGGGCGCCGCCATGCCTCTGCCGCGGCGACGCGCGGGGCCGTGAGGAGAAACCGGGAGAGGAACCGCGACGAGAACCGCAAGGAAAAAAAAAAAAACAAAAAAAAAACGGGGAGAGGAACCGTGAGGAGGCGCTCGGTCTCCCCGGGGATGTCCCTCAGGCGGCCGGCGAAAGCGACTCACTCGAGCCCTGGGGTATAGGCCTAGCTTATCCAGCTTCCTTCCTCCTCCTCCTCCTCCTCCTCCTCCCCCTCCTCCTCCTCCTCCTCCTCTTCCTCCCCTCCCCCTCCTCCCCTCGTCGTCCACCCCCTCGGCGTCTCTTCCCTCACCCTTCCCCGCGCCCCCATCTTCCCTCCCTCCCTCCCCTCCAGCAGCGATGGCAGAGGAACAACAACAGCCGCCACCACAGCAGCCCGATGCCCATCAGCAGCTTCCCCTCAGCGCCCCCAACCCCGGGGTGGCTCTGCCAGCCCTTGTGCCCGGGCTGCCAGGGACCGAGGCCAGCGCTCTGCAACACAAGATCAGGAACTCCATCTGGTAAGGGGATCCTCCATCGCCGGGGCACAGCAGCCTAGGCACACTGCTGCTGCAAAGGGGGTGGGGGGCGGCGGCGGCGGCGGCGGCATCCGAAGAGGAGGTGATGCATGCGTTGAAGGTGGGGTGCCACAGCCGCCGTGCACCCGGCTGTGGCACCTCTGGAGGGGGCAGGTTGCACCCACCCGTGGTCTCCTTAGACACACACACACACACACACACACACACCATGCTTCCCTCTCCTCCTCGATTGTAAGCCGATAAACAAGTTATTTGTGCATTTTCCACCCACAGTAAGGGAAATACGGGTCAAGATTAAGTCATGGCATGATAGTGGCGTGCATTGGAAACTTGGACCGTGAAATGTGTTGACTCCTTTTGTAGTCATAGAGGGAGGAAGAAGTGTATTGTGAATTTTGACCAAACAAGACATTGTACGCAGCATTGATATGCAGCACAAAACCTAACGTGTCTTTTCCATTCAGTTGGAATAGCTGCTGTGTGTGTGGATGGCTTTGCCTCCGTTATTGTCGAACCGAATTTCCCGTCTCGGGAATTTATTTTTTTGCATTGACTGTAAAGGAAATGCCGCTTTAGCATTAAGTTTTATTTTAATGTGGTAATTTACACGGTAAAGTGCATTTTTTAAAAAATGTAAACCATCTTGCCATTTTTGTGTAATTATTAAAAAGAAACTAGACGGAACATCCTTTACTAGTCCTGTATTTCTTGTATGGGAATGTGCTATATTTCAGTGTTAATTGAACTCTTAAAGACTGATAACGATATTAATAAATACCCAGAGTTAAGTCCATCTTCTATGAGAACCATTGCAAATGTTCACTGAATGTGAACTTGCATTATTTTGTAGGATTCTTTATTAACTGACTTTTTAAAAGCGTGGTACTATTTTTAAAATGGAAAGCAATATTTGGAATTTGGTCTAAGATTGCTTTTAATAGAAGTTTTAAAATAGAATTAAGTATGATGTGGAAAAAATAGCCATGATTTTTTTTTTGAGCATGAATCTAGCAGGTTCATTAAATATGACTATTAAAATAACAAAACTTGCAATTTAAAGACAAAGGTATCATAAAGCAACTGGCATTCTGTGTACAGCATTTGAACATTCAAGACAGTAACCAATTTTAAATATAAAATTAGGAGTTGTTATATAGTAATTTTCATTATTTTCTTGGCATTCTTCCATCGTGATGCTAATATGAAGTAGGTCAGTGCAGGCTTTACTACTTTCATACCACACAGTAGTTGACAGTTGAATATCTTGCTTTTAATTTTAATATGAAACTTAATTATTTTAAAAGGAATTTTTTTAAGACTTTGACAATAGTTTCGTGGCAACTTGAATAGGTCAGATGTGTGAAGGTTGTGTGTGTGTGTGTGTGTGTGTGTGTGTGTGTGTGTGTGTGTGTGTTTATGGCACAGTGGGGGAGACTGCAGTAGATACATACCTTCACCCTGTTTTAAAAGCTGTACCAAATAAATAAAGGTATGATTAATTTCTGGCTTTGAGTTCCACAAAGCCAGATGTTTTATCACTGGATAATGTAATTTAGGGTCCCTGAAACCATGATTGAGTTGAAGTAAAACACCCTTGTTTGTTAGCCTCAAAAGAGGGACATCCCAGTTAAAGGACTCAAATCTTTTAAGAAAGGTACATTTTAAAGGTTGAATTAGTAAGGCTATTTTATTATGAGAACATTAAGGGAGAAGGATTTGTCTTTGTAATTCCACAGAAAGAGTGAGTTGTATAGGCACTAAGGATGATGTTGCGATAATGATGATGGTGGAGTGCCTTTTATTTATTTTTGTTAAATCATAATTTAATTCACACATTGGTAATGATATTTACACATCTATTACAACTTAGCTATGCTGACTTTGAAAATGAAAAAAAACTTCTCAAGTAGAGGGAGTACACTTAAGATTTTGAACTTGGCTCTGAAATATTAATGAGCAAACACGCATCTTAATATCAAAATGTACTATTCTGTGTCTTCATTTTGTAATGACACACTAGCATTTCATTTCTAACTTTAGTAATTCCATTTGCAAAAATTGTTCCTTACTCCTTTATATCTAAAACTTGAGGATGATAAACAACCATGATGGATAAAAACATTAGTGGCCATATTTAATATAGAATTGAAATTCTTCCATAAGGACGGATTCATACTATTCATCAAGTAACTATATAAAATACAGATGTTAAAAAGTGAAAGTTCCATTGTTACTTTTCTTTTTTTTAAGTCTAGGGCTTACTATGTAACCCTGGTTGGCCTCAAACTCAGAAGTCTTGTCTGCCTTCCTGCCTTTCAAGTTCTGATTTAAGGGCATACACTTCATGCCTCGCTCATTGCTACTATCTAAAAAATAATATTTTTTAAAGAATTAAAATGTTTTAATAGATATAACTATAATTCTATATGCATGTTGTTTCATATTTTTAAGCAGTACTTTTCCCACCATTTTTAAAAATCATCTTGGATTGTTCTGAGAGATGGTCAGTTTTATATTGCTTCTGTGTCAGCCCTTCAGTACCATTATGAAGAGTTAAAATGAAATTCAAAAGAAATGTGGCATTTAAAAATTATCAACTGGGTTTTGCATTTAGGTTGATCATAGTTTCTAAACTGTGGCTTGCAGATCACAAACAAGTCTGTACTTGCCCTCCTACTCTACAAATATAAATATAGTATGTGATGTAGACCTTTAGCTGGACAATGAGTTATTTATTATCTTGGCTCACAATTTATTCCATTTATTAAATGCTAATTGATAAAAGTATTCCATTGCATTTCAGGCATTAAATATGTCTCTAAAAAAAGGAATAAGTATTCAATGTAAAGACGTAGTATTTAATGAGATTAAAACTATTTCTCAAGAGTTAGAAATAGTGTAGATTTTTAAAGTAATTCTAGAACATATACTGCTAACTTGATAGTGTTATGTTTGTATTAATATGCTTGTGAATATCTTCAAATTATGCCTAGGTTAACAAACCTGACTATTCTTGTCTGTATGTTTCTTTACTTTATTCCTTCCCATTCCATAGACAAAAGGTTTAAATTAGTTATATGCCTCATGTGAAAGGATTTTTATTTGTAGTGTTTTAATTCTGAGTAGGCTATAAGAATGTTATTTATATTTTATAGATAATATAATTTAAAAATAATCTTTTTCTAAAAGGGATAAAGGAAGAGAATATTAAAATAGTAGATATACATAGTTTTTCTTTTTGGTTTTTTGAACAGGGTTTTGGTCTATGACCCTGTCTTACTTGGAATTCATGATCCTACTGCCTCAGCTTCTCTTGCCATGATACCTGGTAGCTAAATCTTTTTTTTCTAAAGGAAGACTCATACTGACAACCTAAAACAAAGCCATAGCCAACTTAAATATGAACTTCTTTAATTTACATTGCTGAAAATTTCTATTTAATTTAAACAACAATTTTTTTTTTCAAGACAGGGTTTCTCTGTGTAGTTTTGGTGCCTGTCCTGGATCTCAATCTGTAGACCAGGCTGGCCTTGAACTCAGAGAT